ACAACAATGTGAATTTCTCCACTGTGAGATAAATACAGGCATATCTTATCTTACCTTATCTTATCTAAGATGGAAGGCAAATTGACCAGTAATCCCAGCTGAGCCTCTTGCATGCGCTGTACACTGTATCCATAAGTTGGGGTTTCTTGCATACACTGCTTCCGTAAGTTGGGGTTTTCAGAACGTAGTTGGAGCGCAGCCTTGCCACTTTTTGACCCAGCTCGTCCAAATTGGTGATATATTCTATATCCCGACTGGCTCACTTGTTTTGCCATGGCCTCTGACCATGACCTCGACCGCAACTCTCATGCCTCCTCATCATTCTTTGCCACAGGGCAGTGTTTCCTCTGCATTCATTTAGGAGTGGCGGGCCGCCATTCCTAAATCGGAGCTGCCGCTCCTTGAATTTTTTTAAATTTTATTTTATTTTTATTGTCGCAAATACACCATCGCCGCATGTCTCCACCTTCACAGCAGAGTCCTGCACTGGGTAGGGTACTCGGGAGTACTAATGTAAACAACAGATAACTATCTTGCTGAGTCTCTACTCTTTGGGGGGTTAATACCACATTAATTACTGGCGAGCGCTACGGTAAACTACAGATAACTATCGTGCTCAGTCTCTACTCTTTGGGGGGTTAATGCGGCGTTAATTACTTGCGAGAGCGCAGCCTTGAAAGTGACGTTACGTCCAGCTCCAGGTCAGACAGTCAGAAGAGGGTCATACCAGAGAAAAGGTAGACTTATTTGCTTAAGATAGCTCATAATAGATTTGACAAGTTAGCTGGCCACCAATGTTTTTCTCAAAACAGGGGATCTGCTTGCAGCCTGTATGCTGCTGAGCCTCTCAGAGGATTTCCCTACAACAGAGCCTTGGAGCTCTTTTATAAATAAGAAAAAAAACAGAAAAATTAATTGTTCTGAGCCTGGGTGCAAACTTTGCCACTGATTCTACAGCCCCATTAAGAAATTAGTATTTATTGTTTTTATATTTTTTTAAATTAAATTTTATTGTTTTTTTTTTATTCTTTTAATTTTTACATTCAGCCTTTAAAAAGCCATTTTCAACAGGCCATTCAATAAATAGGTTGTAAATTTAAAATCTGCTGTCAAATGTCATTTGTTCACGCCACCACGGCTTCACCATGGACAGCCTGCCTCCGCTGCTGAAATAAATCCTAGAGGAAACACTGCAGTGTAGTAAAGTATCTCTGACCTCATGCATTATAATTCAGTTGATGTACTATCCAATCTCTGTGTATGACAAATATCGTGTGTACCGTGGCTCTCTGGATCACTGCTGTGGGTATGTCTGAATGAAGCCCTGAGGGCCATTAATGTTAAAGTGCCCTATGTCTGAATGACAGAATGATGTCACTTTAATAGACTGATGAATGTTGCGTATCTCAAGTTTAAAAGGGCTTAACTGAGCACTATTCTTCTTCACTAACCTCTTGTCACATTGTGGAGGGAAGGGTTCTCCACTGACACCTTCAATTAGCCTGCTGGGAAATTTGTGTTAGCATTCCTGAGAATGTTGACAGGCTGGAGTAACAAAAAGAATTTTCAAAATAATGTACACTGACAGTGCCCTTGACAGAAAACCATGAGTTTGCCAGCTGTCTCAGTGTTGGCTCCTGGCTGGCCTTGTATTTGTCTTTGTACGTTCCCGATGGTCTCATTCACAGCACTGTGTGAGGTCTTTTGGATTTGATTGGCTGTTGACTGTCTGGTGTGTAAAATTTACTTTATCGCGTCCTTCTCTACTGTACCTTATCATACCCCATAGTTTTCGCTATATTGAAGCGCTGACTCAAAGAATAGGATTAGCTGTCTTTCATACTGCTGGCTTTACCTTTTAGCGGAATGTTGTGGAAGCAGTGACAGCAGCAGAGGAACAATAAAAAGTGGTCTGACTTTGGAGGATTTTATTATTATTATTATTATTTTTTTAACTTCTCTTCTCTGTGCCTTTCACATCATTGGTGTTGGCTTGTTATTACGCAATAGTGTCTCCTCTTTCCCCTCTGGACCTGCTATGAATCATTCCCAGTGGCAAACACTCAAAATGTGTGTTACATAAGATGATTTGGCGTACAAGGATTATCACCCCATCGCCTTGGGCCAGTGACCGGACCTCCGCGAACCCAACAGAGGCCAGAGGCACTTGTGTGAGAAAGGGCTTTTCCTTGTCATCTTTGCTTACTGTTAACGGAAGGAAGAGCCAAAAATGGGCATGGGATATGAAACTCAGCAGGGGATATGGAGCACTGGAGCTGCTGTCACAGTGCATCCAGGCACTGGCAGGGACAGTGTTGTTAAGAGGATGCTGTGCTGAGATTTGGAATGCCTTCCCCTCCCCTCTGCTGTTCCAGCTCAGCATCCCTAGGAATTACAGCCCGTTTATGGTGGTGGAGTCCAGTGTCAGTGTTTAGGGTCAGCGCCAGAAGTAGTTTGGCCTCTGCGTAGTGAAGCAGAAAGTAAAGGTATGGAGGTTGGAATTGTGGATGGAGCACTTGCTTTAAATCATGTTAATATATATGTTTTAGCACCCTTCTGACCACTTCACCGGTGGATGAATACATCTTGTTCGTGTTTCTGCTTAAAAGCCGAAACTGAACTAACTGTTTTGGTAACATTTCCAGGGTTTCCACCACACTATCACAGTATTACCATGCAACTAGTGTCATGGGTAGCTTCAAAATGATTTGATAGTGATAAATGCAATCATAATTTGCATAATGGATTGTTATGGCAACATACCTGAATTCATGTAATATAGTAACTGTATAAATTATGTTTTATGCATTATAGTCTTGTGAATATGGGGATGTTGGTTAAAGTTATATTATTATATTGTAGTGGCTCTCAAACTCCTCTTATTGTCACAGGTTTTTGTAAGTGCTTTTGCTGGGAGTAAGACAGTCAGCCTAACTTCATATTACATATGCTAGCGCAAAGCACGGGTGCAATCCATCTCGGAACAATATCTTCAAAGCTGCACTATTTTTTTTAACTAGTGTTTGCTGACAAAAAAGCATGTGCCCCAATGATTGATTTTTCAATTAAGAATTGCAAGGCCTTATTTCCTAACTGTTAGGATGGTCCCACTGAAACTTCCTCATTAGATGCCAAATAGACTGCGTTAAATGTATCCTTCCTGAGAGGCCTGACTTCTTGTGATGGTGGCAAATGCACATTTATATTGTGCTCACACCCCTTTGATTAGTATTCATCTATGAAAAAGTGCAGCTGAATTCAGAATATCCTGAGCCCACAGCACACACAGTTGTAGAGAGCCATCGGTTCTTTCCGACGACTATTGAGTCAGGCAGCCACCAGTGCCCTCTTCTCTTACACTCCAAGAATGAAAAATAATCACACTATTCCTTTGATTACTTTGGCAGTCCTTGGAGCAGCCGACTCCCCTGACTAAGTAACCAGTTGGTATGTGTGACTGTCTACTGCAACATAAAGTAACACTGTGAAAATCCCACCAAGTTGTCTGGCAGTAGTGTTGCATAGCTAGCTTTTCATCACACCTCAAGTCTTGTTGTTGATTAATAAGTTCGGTTTTAAAAGCGACCATCTTTTTTTGGTTTGGACTAACTACTCAATCTACCCAGCATGTTTTGTCTAATTGGATTTATGTCCTGCACACAAAATCATCTAAAAATTCTCCCTTTTTTTTCTTTTTTATCCCTCTCATAACTCTATTCATGTAATATATTGTGATGCAAGTCATGATACAAGCAGCTGGAGGAACAGACAGACAGCCAAGCCTCAGAAAGGTGGTGAACACCAGTGGGGATACCTGACTTCCTGCTTTGCATTAATTTGGGTTCAGATCTGATGATACAGGTGAGCCAGTCTACATAGATGGACAGTGTACACTGTTTGTTCCAATAAAGGAAAGCAAGTAACACAACAAATCAATGTTCTCAAATTCATCAAATGTGTCTGTATATCTGCTGCTCTTCTTATTGTGTGAGTCAATCACTGAAACACAAGGAAAACTATACATTGATTGTGTATAAGAATGGCCAACTCTGGACAATTAAGTCCCCCAAAAAAAGCAGCATTTCAATGGTGGGGTTTGAGACAACAGATGTGTAACAAAAGGTCGTGCAAGGCCTGTATTGAAACCGTTTCCTTATCATGAGGCAGCCACTCAAACTGAAATCAACACTTTTAAGTTACTGCAGGCAGCAATATGATGATTGTATGGCCAAAACATGTATGGCTCCAGTAATCAAACTACTATTTCAGTCATTTGTGACTGTTACTCCGTATGAAAACGGCTTACAAGGCACCATCAGGGAACAGTTGCCATAACATAATGCCTCGCGGAGACATGGTTTCTATTATTGCTGTGACCAAAGATGGGTTTTAAAGACTCTTCTGAATGCTGGATAAAAGATGAGCAGTTTCCTCCCGCTGTATAGGGAATACAGAAAAAAAGCAGAAAGATGTGGAGTACACACCACAACAACTGATTTGTGGACAAGCAGGACAACAATGATGCCCATAAGTGTTATTGTACACTTCATAAATAATTACTTTTAGAGTCGCTGCCTGCAAATGGCATACTTTCCCATTGGCCACGTGGCAGAGAAGATTGCAAATGGACTAGAAGAGTGTTTGCCTAGCTGGTGTCTGAAAGAAGACTGCTAGACGTGTATCATCACTGATGCATCAAACATTGATGTGGAACTAAATCAGTGGACCAGGTAAGTGAAAGCCTCCGTCCTTTTTTTTCTTTCCCCGTGTGTTTTTAGTTATTTTTGCTTGTTGTCTTTAGTGTTGTTTTTTTTGCCATTTATTCTCTTAAATATTATTAAAAAATATTTTCAGATATCTTGTTTGTATGATCAGATCTACATAAATACTTTATTATTATTATAATTTTCTTCATATTATTAGTGTTAGTAGTAGTAGTAGTAGTAGTAGTATGGAAAAAAATATCCAGCTTTATGATTTATTTGTTTTATTTTTGTTTATTGCATCGCTTTTTGTGGGGCATTTTGTGCTCTTGCTAGAAATGTGCTACACAAGTGGCCATTATCACTACTGTTGGCATTGTTGTTCCTACATTTTCCATCGTCGCTTTTGTCATTTTTACACAATTCACATTTATTCATGATTTGTATTTCTTTTTTGTTGTTTTCAGACTTTGTAAACAGTTGGTTGGCTATTTCTCGCACAGTTAGAAAAAAACAACCTCCCTGATTGCAGCCCAGCAAGAGTTCAATCTGCTGGAGCACTCGGTGATTACAGTGTCCAACAAGATGGGGCTCAAGGCAGAGGATGATTGGGAGGGTGCTGGAGCAGACCATGGCTTTATCTCAGGTTCCGTCTAAAGGCTGGGAAACACAGCACCTGGTCCCCACTTGGCAGTACACAGAAGTCCTTGAATCAGTCAAAAACAGCCTGCATCCCCTCCAGGAGTTTACAGGTGCCCTCTCTGGCAAAGCGTTGTAAGCATGTCATACCTGAAGCCCGTCCTGCATCTCCTGAGAACATCAAGTCTGGCTGGAAATGAGAAGGCAACAGACCTTACCAAGGCAGTAATGCCAAGAGCCCTTGACCGCATGGAAGACCCAGCCACAGAGGAGCTTCTGGACAACACTTGATCCCTTAAACCAAGATTCAGGATTAACTACATAACTGCAGAGAAATGGTAGAGGTGGCACAAAAAGGTAACTTGTTTTGTTTTTTTTTTTTTTTTTGCAGTTACCGGAATACAAAATGTCACATTGCACACGAAACTTATCGTATTGTGTTTTAATGGCATTGAAAGGCAATGTCTTTAAAATATACATAAAATGCTCAATTGCTCAAAATTACATCATGCGTCAAAAGTCATACAGCTCTCATCTCTGTTTTTCAGTAGAAAAGGGCTCGTGTCAGCACCACATGCGCCGTGCTTCAAAGTGCAGCAGAGGCAGAGCTGTCCACTGTGGAAAAAATAAAGCAGTCCTGAGGCAGCTTCTTTAAGAACAGTGCTGTGCCCCCCTGCTTCATTTGCTGTGCACTTGGAGGATGCCGTGGAAGCTGAGCTGAACAGCTACACGATGGCTCCAACCATCAATGGATCTTTCAGCCAGGTGGAATGTATGCACTGTTATTTTCCGACACTAACTGACTCACAAATTCCTGTGCATCCACAAGTTTGCTATTCGTGAGTCTTTAGTGCTGGGGGGGATTGTAGTCACACATTGATGTTCTTGTCTAAAACTAGAAAAGGTTCACAAAATATTTTGACCAAAAAAAACTGCAATTATTTTTGAGAAGAGGAAGAAGAGAAGTCAAGAAAAGCATAATTATGTAGGGCTTCTATTGATTTAAGTTATTTGAAGATTTTTTTCTGCACTTCATCCTATTGTGACTGCCTTTGGCAAAAAAACAAAGTGAAATGCCTAACATATAGATTCCTGTTTGTGTTATCATATTTAGTGGTTGCTTATTTGCCAAGCATTATGTGGTTTCCAATTTATTGTAAGTTTAATGCTACATAACAGTAAATAATGTTTTATTTTGTTTTTTTACTTATATTGACTAGAGATTATGCAACATTTATATGCTGCTCCTGAACAATAAGTAAGTGACTCACCGATTTTGTGTCCCAGACACTGTTTACATAGAGGTCTTATTATTTTCTAGATGGAATTTCTTTTATTATTATTACGTTTCTTGACTTAACACAGTCACAGTTTTTGTGATTCATTTTTTATGTTCAATTGGTCTTTGTTCAGTGCCAGTTAAAGAAAATTCAAAAAATACATTTTGAAAGCAGTTCATATCTTTAAGTTCTCATATTTGAATTGGAGTACAGACCAGTACATATTTTGATGGCTTATCATGTTGTAGTACTTCATAAAGTGTTTTAAATCTAGTGAAGCTTGACTTTAGTCAGCTTTTTTTTGTTTGTAAAATCCTCTTTTTCTAGTTTATTCAGACAAAACTCCAACATTACCTATAACTGAATGTTATACATGTATGTTGCAAAATGTCTCTTCCGGCTGTTTTTATTTCCTGCTGTCTGCATTAAATATTTGTTAAAAAGTTATGTGAAAGTTGGATGTGTTACTTTTACCAAGGCAAAAGAAAAACTGAACTAATATACATGTGTTACATCAGGGAACATAGGAGTTATTTGGAGGTTGAAGTGAATGCTGATTTGATTATTTTGGGCTTTTAACAGCATTAAGCTTTATTCACAGAGCAACATGATGGAGGCCAAAAGCATTTATTCTCAGCAAGACTTGTATAAGTAGTTGGTATTGGGCAGCACCATAGGCATCTACAGTGTTGACTATGTGTCACAATAACTTCCCTTTTAGAAACTGCGTAATTAATTTAATTTATTAATATATTTGGAACACTTAAAATTATTAGAGTTTGGCTGCTGTGCTGTTTTAAATGATGGTTATGTAAATTCAGTGCTCAACTAACCTACTTTTCAAGAATTTTGAAGATGTCAGCTGTTAATTGCCAGCCAGTATTTGATTAAGAAAACTGCTCTCCTCTGTGAATGCTAAAGATGTATTTGAACTAAGTGTGCACATTAAATAGTTTATTTTTCAAAACTTAAAAAATATACTCGCCACATATTTTTGTCACAATTCATTAACAACCTATTTCAACAGATTATTATCAAAACTGTTAATTTATGTTGTGTGTTTCTTTTAAAAATAGTATTGACTGATGTGTTGTTGTCGGTTTTTAAAATACCAATTTTGGTATCTTACCCAAAAATCCATGGTCAGTGGTACTACTTTGGTGGTAACACTTTGGTGTTATTGTAAGTGTTTAGGCTCAGTGGTGTGCCGTCAGGGCCAGCAAGGCCTTCTCTGCTGGCCTAAACTCTATCAGAATCACTGACTTGCGTTGTAATATTTTCCCATTAATCTTTTTACATTATTCCCAATAGTCTGTTCTCTTCATTTAACAGTGTGTCTCTGGGCTGTGGTGCTTCCAGCAGTGTATATTTTTTTTTTTTTTTTTTTATCCAATCATATTTCCGCCATCATGTGTTGCCAGGGTCACAGAAATCTGCCCTGAGGCGTTCAGAATCAAAAGTGCTGGCACAGGAAGCTTAAAATGTGTTGCAATGAAACTGTTGCTTTAACCAATCAGATTTAGAGTTGGGGATCCCAGGGCCAGCTAGCTGGCCTACGATGATGTCATCACTTTCACATCCTCTGATTGGATGGTCAGAGAGCTTAGCCAAAGCTAGTGATTGGTATCTGTAGCGACTTGCACAAGCTAAAACTTTATCGTGAAAGTATTCCCTTTTCTCTCTCTTTTTTTTTTTTTAAGTTAAGCAAGCTGACATTCTCAGCCTTAAAGCGAATTAAAACTTATGCCAGAAACATGACTGGACAGACCCGGCTTTCAGTATTAGCCTCCATGGCGATAGAACAGGACTAATGTTTGAAGTGAAACACGGATTACCTGCTCAACAGAGTGATTGAACTGTTTATGATGAAAGAAAGGAGGATGGAGTTTGTGTTAAAATAATCACAAGTTATGGTGAGTAAAATATATATATTTTTGTCATTTTATTGGGCTGATATTGATGCTCCTGTTAGATGTGATGTATGTGGTGCAGCTGTGGCTGCAGCAAAAGGAGACTTGTTGAATTGTTTTAACTGGGTTTCTTGCTTTAGTGATGGCATTCATTCTCGCTACATGAGATACCTGTCTGCAATGCAATGCCCTGCTGTACTGCCTTCCTGCATAATACTGATGGTTTCTATAGCCGTGGTGACATAATGACGGTGTTAGGAGATGGTTTGATTCCGGCAGGCTGCCACTGAAGGCCTAAGAGTTAAATGCATGGCCCGCTACTGCTTAGGCTGAAGCTAAGATACAACTTGTGCTGAAACTTAATTGTTATTTAATGATTAAATAAAGGTTGTGGTGATGGATGGCTCGTTATACAGGCTGATGGACTTGGACTTGACATTTGGAGATCAAACAATGCCGACTGAGATTTGGTCTAGACACCACATATCGCGTTCCTGACCTGGGGAACCAGGCTGAGTGTGAGCTGCCGCTGGTGCTGACATCAAAGCTGGAGCTGCCAGCCATTGTCCCAGAAGATACTGGTGATGAGACGCTAAGCTGACTCTCCTGAGTGGCTCATCTCTCATTCTGAAGTGCCTGTCCAGCTCTGATAGCCTATCACACCTTTGAGCACTCCTGGATCCACTCTGCAGGGCACTGATGGATTCCAAAAATGGCAAATCATGTCAAACTGGTGGACAGGAAGATAAAGAGAATTTTTAAACCTGAATAGCTTTTAGCCACAGCTCTCTTAGACTCTCCATTCCTCTCTATATCCGTAGTCTTTCTCTCGTTCTGTTTCTTTCTTTCTGACCCACGCCACCAGTTTTTCCTAGACTGGTGGGACTAAGAATTTTCTTAGACAAAAAGAAAATACCCTCCAGCTTTCTTTTAGGTGGTAGAAAAAAGGCTTCTATAGTTAATGAGCATATGTGCATACAGTATGTAGGAATAGATAACTGTGGGCTAGAAGATGGTACAAATGTTCATAACTGCATGGGGAGTCTGCTTTTTCCACATACTCAGCCCTCCTCCTCGTCACTGCCATAATGTGTAGCTAAATGCCTCATTTACTGCTGCTGCTGCTATGGGAATTAGGCCAAGCGATACTGGAATGTGCCCAGGCTTGCTGGGTAGGAGTGGAGGAGGCTACTACTCCCTGAGCTGTCAAGACAACTTAGGCCACACATCAAGCTAGTTGTCGCTTTCGGCAGCTGGCATGTACCATACACTGAAGCTTAACTTGCTGTACATAGCACATAACGATACATTATAAGTTTTATAAAGTTTCACTGTATTGAACTATATATTCCAGGTTCCCGTCATAGGCTTGGAAATAATAGAAAAGTAAGGATGGGCCACATCACAATCGTAAAGAGTGTGATGGTCAAATTGCAAGAGCTGTGATTTAATTGACATAATTGGTGGGAATTGTATACGCACAAAGACAGACATTTGTGTATGCATGTTTCTTGTGAGATTTATTCAGCCACACATACACCTGAGCCTGTTTTATAAATCCCAGTCATTGAGGAAATGGGCACATGTGCATGGCCTTCATTTCCACTCCCACAATCATCTACTAATTCGTCACATATATCTGGAAACCATTTGCGACCAAAATGGCAAAAAGAAAATTGTAGTAATTTTTAGCCAGACAAGTGATTTCTGTGCTTGGACAAGTGAAAGGTGAATTTATTGTCCAAACTTAATTGAGTTGAGCCCTGCACAGCGAACTAATGCAAGTCCAGCTGGTCAATATGTACCTTTAGATGAACTTCAAAGTAATTAACAAACTTCTGCCTGGTGTCTGACAGATATCACAGTGTTTAGTTCTTTCTCCTGCTTCCCTACCTAATACTGACTGATTAAACCATTTGTTTCTACTTGCCAATTTGTAATTTTTTTTTCCAAACATGCAACGTGCTGCCCTGGTTAATTACCACAAAGCGAACACACAGTGTGGTTGATACATCATTATCACCTACCGAGCTCAATCAGACAGATCCTGATGAATTTTGTCTCGATATCAATGTGGTTAATAGATGACAAAGTAAACAATTACCTGACTCATTAAATATGTGGCCTTTGCTTTGCAAATCAGCACTCTTGCTATTTTTCCTCTGGCTTAATGTGCAAATTTTTTTCTTTTCATACAAAAGGTGTTGTTTTACCAAGGCTTTCTTAAACTTTAATTTTTCTTAAAGTAGTGTTCAAGAGCTGAAGTGCAGGAACTCGGGGCAAGCTAAACTTTTCACTGACGCCCCAATTAGCTTGACATTTAGTTTTTTAGTGGAACATCTCAACTGCTACTGAAGGGATTGTTTCTAAGTGTGGTTTTGAGACATCTATGTTCCATTTAGAATTGACTGTTAAAACTTTAATCCCCTGACTTTTGATTTAGCACTGTCATTAGGTTAAATTCTTAATGCATTCAAGACTTCAGCTAATGAGCAAATACCTTGAAAAGTATTGACAGTACTGGTTTGTCTTCTGCTTCATATGATTAATTCCAGTCAATTGGGGTGTGCTACTGAGATTGAGATGCTTGGAGCATTTTCATACGGTTTCATTTTTCCTCACCAGCTCTTTCTTCTGTTGCAATTTCCTTCTTTCATTTGTGACTTCTTCTGTTTCACAGAACACTGAGTTATTCACAGTTTTTCATTGGTGTTGATTATTTGTTGAGGCAGTAAAGGCACACAGACTACACGTGTGAAAAAAACTACATCAAGCATGTGGGCATGAGTAAAAAATAGGCTGGTTAGAAAGTTTAAATACCAGTTAATCATTGTAGTGGAATAATTGCTCAGCCCTTGTCTGGAGGATCTCAACTGCCTCAGAACAGTTTATTCATATGATGCTTGGTGAAAGACCTCCTATACAAGATTGAGTTTTATTAGTAGGTAATATTTTTCTCTAATAATAAGTTTAAGTTATGAAAATTATTTTGCCAAGTTTAAAAAAGATCTGCAAAAATATGCAAAACGCGGCTGGTATTTTCTAGACCCCTAGCACACACATATTTACACATTAACTCTGTTTGTTCACCAACGCCTTTCACTTAATAGAACTATTTGTTGTTTTGAATAAAAATTCATATAGTTATTATGACCTATGTAACCCCCATAATACCACACACATTTCCATCAGCATAGAACAAACATTTAAGGTAATAAATAACTCTGGAAAAATGAAGTGGAAAACAATAATATGAATAATAAAAATGCATCTACGAAGATTAAGACAGACACAAAAAAAGCATTAAACTTCCAACAGCCTTCACTTTCCTCCTCTGTCAGCAATGCAACACATGTCCTCTAGTCTTTCCTCCTACTCCATCTTCCTTTGCATTGGCAGCACAGGCACAACACATAAGACCAGCATATCAATCAGCATTTTCAAAGTTTCCCTCCTGGGTGGAATGACATTTTCCACTCCAGTCACAACAGAAGTACGGCTCTGCAGCTTCCGTCGTAGGTTAAAAACTCATTTCAA